GACTGATTAATCTGGCAAAAGAAATTTCAAGGCAATCGAATGTTGGGGAAGTGGCATGGCTATTGTTGGGAGCTTTTGGCCGGATTTATATTGAGAATCAAGAGCAAAGAGTCTGGAAGGATGATTTAAAATATTGTGAGTTTGGCCAGAAAGGAAGCTCCAGTAAAGCTATGGACTGCAAAGATAAGGCTGAGGAGATCTCTATTGCTGAGAAGGAACAGGAGAATAGAAAAGAGACACAGAATGAGCGAGAGTTACCAAAAAAGCACAGAGTGCTCTCAGGCTTCCCTTGGTTCTTACCAGGAGAGGCTCATGAACCAGTACTGTACATGTAACCAGTACGCCGAGCCAGTGATGGCAGACCTATGGCACATGTGTTATTGTGTTTTTCTGTTGAGACAAAAGATGTTAATGTGGAGGTGATTTCTCTCTAAACTAAAACCTCAGGATTCAGGATTCATGTACATTCCAAAAAAATTCTGAGTTGTCCTAAATCAATTACAAGAGCCTGAAGCTGGAGAGGGGGAGTAATCAGTTAACAGCTACTGACAGAGAACCAGAGACTACTTTGATGAACGCTGGATTTAAATCCCTTCATTGCCAAACACAAGGACCAGCAAGCCCTGTTTACATACAAACTTTCCAGACGGTTAACCCCAGACAATCCAGAAGTCACAAGTACTTCTCATGCGCTGCTCTCGTGCCCCAAAGCTTTCCCCTCTGTGTCTTAGCCTGCCCCTCTTAGCCGTAGCGAATACAGGTTCCAAGTAAACAAATTAGGGTTTCTTTCCTCAAAGTTTATTGTTTCTGCAGACGTGTTTCCAGCTCCTAACCAGCCCTGTGACTGGTAGTTTCCGGAACTTGTCCCCGGACCTGGTCTTTTTTTCTGGCTAGCATCTATAATGGCTCAATAAACTCTTCTATCTCAGAGACCCTTCCATTCTCAAGAGTTTTGGTTTAACAAAAGCTAGGATATCATGTTTAAATAGCAACAAACTAATAAATTCTATTGCCTTATCTTATTTCTCTTCAGAGCTGGGAACAGAACGCAGGGTCTCATGCATGCTAGGAAGGTACTCTGCTCCTGAGCTACATTCCCATTAGCCAGAGTTACTAGTGAAATAAGAAATTCCCAAAATCCCCATTGTTTCAATTTGCATTTCATTTGCAATTTGCACAAAAGTGAGCATTGAAAAAAGTATGATTTTTCTCATCCATCAGTTTCCTGTTTGTGTTTCCAAATTTCTGTTTGTTTAAAACTTGAGCCAGGCATGGTGACACAAACACTCAGGAGGCTGAGACAGGGAGATCGCTGCAAATTTGAGGCCTGCTTGGGCCACAGAGCGAGTTCAAGGTCAGTCTGAACTGCCTAGCACGACCATGTCTCCAAAAAAAAAAAAATTATTTGTAGACATTCTTTATGCTCTATAAATCTTGCAAAGACCCTTTCCTCCTTTGCTTTTGCAATTTGTTTGTGGTGTCTTTTGCCAATCAGAAGTTTAAATGTTTGATTCTGACTTAATCTAGTCACTGTGTAAATGGAAATTTTTTAACTTACAGAACATTGGCCTAGGTCGGACATGCCCAAATTGAATGCTTTATTTTACCACAACTGTTCATTTCCTGCTGAAGGTGATAAATAATCATGAACTTTTAATGACCCCTGTGTACCAAATAGTAACTAGAGACTCTTTCCCGACTGAAAAACAATAGCATTTCTTTTAGCTAATTATGTGCAGACTTGTGAACCCGATCTACCCTATCGGGAATGCTTCTTCTCACAGTTTAATTAGCATATCCTCCCCTAACACTTAAAAAGCCCTGACCCTCCCTTCCTTTGTTTATGTTTGCTTTTATTTTCTGAGAGTCAGTAACATAACCTCTCAGTGTCTCAGTTGCAAAACTGAGGAATAATAGAACTTACCTCACGAGGTTATTGTGAGAGTTAAATGCGCAAACACGTAAACTGCTTGGAACAAGCATCTGATACACAGTAAGCAGCCAATAAATTTTAGTTAGTTATTTGTATTGTTCTTACTATGTCAAATTTATTTATGTTTTTCCTTGTGGCTTTTGTTTTTCAGTCTTAAGAAATACTTTTCCAAATGATAGGTTTTATTACAAATTCTTCTCCTCTTTCCTTCCAGGTACCTGGGAAGCCCTTTTAAAAGCTGACTATAGTGAGGTGATTTGCTTTGATGAAGGAAATGTGAGCCAAAGTAGTGATGTCACTTATCATCCGGGGATCTAATTCCCTTTCCTACCTTGGTAACTGTTAAAGAATTTTCTATGATGGAGCCCCCAGCCTCCTGCATCCCTGAGTGACTATGAGTAGAGCTCTGCAGAGGCGTTTATTACTCACGAGAAAGAAAGAAACTTTATTTTCCTTTTCCTGCTCTATTGTTGATATAGCTCAGTGGCACAAGCATCTGCCTGGCAAGTGCATGGTCCTGAGTTCGATTCCTGGTACCAAAAAAAGAGAAAAAATTCTCTTACTTTGTATATGTGTGTGTGTGTGTGTGTGTATGTGTGTGTGTGCTGCTGGAGATTGGTTTAAATCCAAGAGGGCCTTGTGCATGCTAGACAAGTGCTCTAACCCCTACACTTTTTATAATAGTCTTAGAGATTTACTTTTCACATTTAGGTCTTTAATTTTGGGAGGGATACTTTCATGTATGGTGCATCAAAACAAAAAAAAAAATCACTTAAAATGTCTAATTGGCTTTTGTTAGCAATTGTAGAATCAGATATTTATTCTTAAAATAGAATGGATGTTCTGATCAGCTGAGGTGAGACAGTTGGTTTTATAGGCAGAAAAGGGCTGCAGAAAGCAGAAATAAAGAACCAAAAGTAGATTGGTCGTTTCAAAATCACTTCTCTTATAGGGTTAAAACAGCAGGTGCTTCTTCATTGTTAGCCAGCTTTTAGTTGCTGTGAAAAAATACCTAAGAAAATCAGCTTAAAGGAGGAAAGTTTTATTTAGGTTCATAGTTTCCAAAGGTCCAGTCCATGTTCATGTGGCTCCATTGCTTCTGGGCCTATGAAGAGGCAGAACGTCACTGTGGTAGAACAAAGCAGCTCACCTTATGGTGGACAGGAAGCAGAGAGAGACAGAGAAAGAGGCGAGCAAATGGGCTCTAGACCACACCTCTTAAAGTGCCCACCACCTCCCAATAGCACCACCAGCTGGAGACTATGCCTTCTACTACATGAGATTTTGGGGAACGTTCTAGATCCAAACCATAATACTTATTATGCCAGGTAAACTGGATCCCTTCTGACTGGCTGCTATGAATCTCCTTTTTTTTGGTAAAATTGTCCCTTTACAAAGTTCACTTTGACTACATGGAACCTAGCAATGGTGACTCTGTTCTGGTTGGGTCTGTCCTATGGGACCTAGCACAGGAGCCTAATCCAAAGCAATGGATGGCCTCCCATGCATTTTGTTTAACAGGTGCAATGGAGGGATCCAGTTTTTGTTTCTCTTTCTCTCTCTCTCTCTTCCCCTCCCCCATACAAATAACTAGTTGCCCTAACTAGTTAATTGACTTATATTTTTATCTATGTCTCCTCATAGGCCCAGAAGCAATGGAGCCACATGAACATGGACTGGACCTTTGGAAACTATGAACCTAAATAAAACTAGTTAATTGACTTATATTGACTTATATTTTTCCAGTGATTTTTGGGGCCAACCTTGTCATATACCTAGTTCCTGTGTTTTTATGGGTCATTTCTTTGACTACTAAGGCACCATTATATTATTTGGTGTTATGTATCATGTCTTTATAATTTATATCACTAGATAGGCCAGGGCACTGTGGTCTTCGGGCATGGAGAGTGGGGAATGAGGAGTGAGGGGATTTCTGGGCATCTTAGCTTAAACCCACCCTCAGTGAATACAGTGTCTAGAGTTCTTGGCTCCTTTCACACCACAGAACATATCTATCAGTTTCCTTGGAGATGATTAGAATGGGTGAGAGATGAGAAACAGCTTTGGGAGTTATTATTAAATTAATTGGCTGGGCATAGTGGTGCACATCTGTAATCCCAGCACTCAGGAGGCTGAAGCAGGAGGATTGCTGCAAGTTCAAGGCCAGCCTGAGCTACAAAGTGAGCTCGAGGCCAGCCTGAGCTACATAGCGAGACCCTGTTTCAAAAAGACAAAAAAATTAATTGACAGAGCTTGATAACTACTTGCATTACTGGTGGAGTTGTTTAGGGAGATGAATTCATCTAGGACAGCCCTCGTATTTATGGCCCAGTTAATCAGTCCCGCAAGGGTATCTGTGAAAAATGTACAACGTGAGCCTTCTCAGCTATAAAAATGTTCTCATTAGATCTAATGCCTTAGGAGAATTTCTTGAACAGATAATACAACCTATAAAAATATCTAGTCATAGAAAAGCAAGGTGTAATTGTGAATGGTTTATTTCTCCAGATTACAACATTCATCATAAATTGCATTTTTAAGACTGTTACTACTGACAGTGCATTAAAATATTGCTTTTTCCTTAGTTCTGCAAAATAAAAAAATATACATATTGCATTTTAATCATAGCAAAGTGTCAAGAGACCAGGAATTTATCTCAGGCAGTGAATTTTAAGACGGGCTGCCCACTTTCACACTCAGGCCCAGTAATCTTTCATACATCAGTGTACCCGAGTGCCAAGTAGATCCCACTCTTCCCAACACTGCTGACATTGGAGAACAAGTCGGGTCCCTGTTCTTTGGCCTCTCTCCCCACCCTGAAGGACAAACTCCAGGCAGGGCAGGGCTACAGCTCAGCATACAGAAGTAGCAGGATGAGAAGGTTAGGCAGCAGCAGCACCAGGAATTCAGCGCCTTTTATCATTCCTGCAGAGGGAGGAAGAGAAGGAAAGGTTTCCAGAGGGAATTTGAAAGACATGGACAAATGTTTAAGGCTTCACCTTTACGTCAAAATCTGAAAGGGGGGTGCTAGGGGCTCACTATACCCATTGTTTGCTTTTCCCAGGATTCCCAGTCCTCAGAAATACTAGGGAGAGAGAGACTTGAAGACATATCCTTTTGGTTCTTGAACTTAAGGTCACTTTGAGTAGACTGAGCTTTGGGTCTCTCAGCCCCTCCCTCAGCCGCTCTCCAGGCCCCTGCTTAACCCACTGTGCCTGGATGATAAAGGTTTTCGCCATCTGGGGCCTGCAACTCTGCTTACCATTGTGGGGGCCCTTCCATGTTTGTCCTGCTCAACCCAGGAAGAAGTTTCTGGATCTGAACCTTTCATCTTGCAGCGACATGCATGCCCCTTTCTTCACTAGCTGATGTGAACTAGACCTGGAGAGATCTGGCCTCCTAACCTGGGGTTCTCCACCTGCCTAAACCTGAACATCAACCATTCGGCCCAGCCTTCCTCCACTGGACTATCTCCCTGCTTCCCTTGTTTTCACGAGGTTGGATCCAAATTCACAATTTGTCTATATAAAAAGCTCAGAGTCTCCCTGTAATAAATCTGTGCCTCCGTTTCTACCTCTGAAGATTTCTCCTGTTACCAGAACCCTTTCAGAGCACAAGGACTAATTTAGTCTAAATTTGATGGATACTTGGCAGTTTAAATCTACTTTTAATTTGGCCCCTTTCCTCTCAATGAAACATAATTTTCTGGGACAACATGTGCCAGGGGCCTGACTTAAACCAGACATTAAGCCAAGCCCTGAGAGCAGATGAATAGGGAGAGGAAGTGTCCACACTGTAAGTAAATGATTATAATGTGAATATGATGAGATGAAACAACTGAGACGTAAACAAGGTTTTCCATGGGGATAAAAGAAAGTATTTGTTGAGCAATGTCTGTGGGCCAGGCAGTGAGTCTTGAATATCTCTGTTAATTCTCAGAGCAATATTAGTGAAGCATCTGTTCTTGTGTCCTTGTTTGTCAAATGAGAAATCGAGACACAGGTTGCTCAGGGAACTTGCCCCAAATCACAAAGCTAGTGATGCTTGAGCAGATTAACATTCTATAGCAGAGAACATGGTACAATGTTTAATTTTCCTGAATGTATCAAGAAAGCCTTGCCATTGGAAGTGATATTGAAAGATCTTGAAAGATAATTGCCATTGGAAGTGATATTGAAAGGTCTTGAAAGGTAATTGCCGTGTTGAGATAGATTGTCCCTTAGCTTGAGAGAGATACGATATGAGGTCAAAAGAAGAGGCCTCAGGCTACAAGAAATGGGTGTAAAGGCACAGAGGCTTGAAAGCCAGAACAGCTTGGTAAAGGATGGGTAAATGCTTGTGGTGGCGCTTCTCACTAATCGTGAGGTGGGAGAGGTAACAGTTTTTCTTGATAATCTCCACTCCCATTTTCAATCTTCAGTGCACCTTCACTGAGATCTCTGTTCCCTGGTTTTCCCAGTTCTACCCTTCATCCTTCTGTGCACCGTTTGCCCCTGTGCTTCACCATGTGGCCCATTGGTATGTATTCAGCTTGATCTCTCAGCAGCTATCTTCAGTAGTAACTGCCATGACTGTCCCAGAATAACTTTCTTTGGTTTTTCCTGCTTAGTTTCCCAGCAAACTATAAATAGACAAAGCCATTAGAGTGTTATATGGAACTTTTCTACTGGACCCTGGCTCCAGGACTGTGCCTTTTTTTATATTAGCTTAAGATAAAATGGGCATATTTAAGCTAGGATGAAGTCACTTTTGTTCTAACTCAAATAGCTGAGCATTCAGCTCAGTAGCACAGCACTTGCCTGGCAAGCGTGAGGTCCTGAGTTCAATTCCCACCCTCCAGAAAAGTTGGATGTTCTAACCCGTGTATATGCCTCTCTTGCTGACTGAAATTGCAGGGATCCAACTGGTCTTGCTGTAGCCCAGGCTCACATTTCCATCAGTATGTCTCCTCAGTAAATTGCATTGTGTACCATTCTACACCTGTGTGCATCTCTTTCTTCAGTCTCATAGCACCTTGGGTCCAGTCCTCATATACTAGGGTGTGAGTCTCCTCAAACACCACTAGTGAAAATATTTCAATTCATTGACACCTTGCTGTGATGTTATTCCCCTGTTACTCTATCCGGCCAATCACTTCCATAGAAATGTCCTTGAACTTACTCACAAGCTCATATATATACTAGAAATCTTGAGTACCACCACCATGCTTTCTAACCATACCTTCAGTCTGTCCAGATCTGACTCTCTTCTTCCTAGAATATTTTATAGGCAGCCCCAGTCCTAGACCTTCCTCCATCACCACTGCCACCTGTTTGTTTTAGGCACCCTCATCTCCTGCCCAGATTACTGAGGCAGCCAGACCTTTCCTCTGGAACAAGGTCCCCTGATTCCCCTGACCTTTGCTATGTCCCCTGACATACCAGTAGTTTTCATAGCACCTTTCACCTGGTGCCCAGCAGATCTTTCTGGACTTTCTGCATAGCAGGTATTTTGGAGCAAGGCTGAACAGAAAAGGCCCTTGTCTCTGGGTCTGGGCTCCGCTCTATGTTTTGGGACAGTAGTCCTTTCCTTTTAGGAACCTGATATTCTTCAGCAGTGGGCTGGAGGCCCATTGTTTTCTTCCTCAGGGGCTTCTACTTCCAATGCAGACCCACACTTACCTGAGCTGTTGAAATTGCTGGGGTTTTTAGAAACATAGAAGCAATTATAGTTACTCCTTTGTCTTTGGGGGTCTTTAAGAGTAATTTCAGTGTATTTATCAGTTTGTTTTATGGCAACCTTTTTATACACCTCGTATCCTGGAATTAACACTTCCTCTTCATCTGGATACAGAGAGAACGCTTTGATATAAACACCCAAACAGGTATTGATTTTAAACAGTGTTCCACCTTCGCTATAAAATTGCAGAGCTTCTGTTAACTCCCAAGATGATGATGTAAATTGCCCGAACCGTACACTATGCTCCCCACTATAATAAAATTTGGTATGAGTGCCTCTATAAACGTGATACAAGTGACAATTCTGTTCCTTGAGAAGCTGAAGAGCTCTTGTCAAGTAATAATGGAAGGCCTTGTACTTAAAGTTATTGGAATTTTGACGGAATTCTCTCACAGCTGTGTTAAAATCTTTTGAAATACTCCCGGTGTAGGCCACTAGAGCTATTCCATGGAAATCGTTGAAATTTTTTGGACGCTTTATTTTGTACTTTATTTGCTCCCAATGTTCCTTTGCTTCTGCCCACTCAGACTTCAATTGCTCATTTATCTTCAGCTCCTCGTTTAAGAGCTGGGGAGCTTTTTTCTCCATTTCTTGGATACAGCCCTCATACTGATCATCAAACGCATTGTAAGCCATGTCCAGTTTGCTCTGTGTCAGGCCAGTTACCTGTGGAGAAGGAAGAGACTTTTGACTTGTTTGCAGGGAAACCAGCTTATGCTGGATGCTTCCAGAGCCCTCAGCACTGGCTTCCTGCTCCGAGTAAGATTTTACATGTCCCAATCCACAGGGCTCATGAGTGACACATCATATGAACACAATCTTATTATACTTTTTTTTTTCCGGTACCGGAAATCGAACTCGTGACCTTGGGCTTGCCAGGCAGGCGCTGTGCTACTGAGCTAAATCCCCAGCCCCACAATCTTATTATACTATGAGTACTGTAAAAAGGAAAAGCTCAGCTTTGGACTCTGTTTTGTTTGCTGGTACTATTCTTTACAGTATTTTTCAGATTCATGACTCCTAACTGACTCTAGTCACAGACTCAACTATGGCAGCTGTATTGTCTCAAAGAAAGAAAAGCAAGATTAGCAAGATATGGATTGAGAATGGGTGTTAGGTATTACCTGCTGTGTAAGCCACCAAGTTAGCATGAAGACGTGAGTTGCTATGGGTAGAGGTGATGTCATCTTCAACTTCAAAAATAACTGCAAATGAACACAAGATAATACAAATGAGGCATAATCATTAGTTTCTTTGTGTATTGATACATCATTGCTGTGTTAATGAACCCCTGTTTCAAATCCAGAAGCCCAGGCTATTTACACTGCTCTGAATAGGTAATCAGGATTCCTTGTGGACAGCTCTACCTGGAGCCTGCACCGGGACAAGGTGACCCTGATATGTGGCCTCCATTAGGGACGTAGTATTGAGACAATCAATCCTCGTAATAAGCAGAGCTACATGCCTTGTAGGTTGCCAGTGAGAGAATCAGATTAAATTTTAGCAGACCCCTCAATAGGCTCTAACATTTTACTCCCTTAGAGAAATATTGTGAGTTTTTCAGATACTAAAAAAAAATTCTTCTCCAAATTTTGTTAACCTGCGACTCCGACTCAGGCAATACTTATTATTATTTTCTTAATGTCAGTTTTCACCATGATCAGGGTTTTAGTTTTTCTTCCAAAAGCTCACATGTTGGAGGCTTGGTCCCCATGGTGGCAGTGCTGAGGTGGTAGAACCCTTAAGAGGTAATTAGGTCCTTTGGGGCAACACCCTCAGAAGAGATTGTGCAGTTCTTGTGGGGTCCTGGTTAGTTCCTGGAAGAGCAATTCGTTACAAAGAAGACACCTGACGCCTGAATCTTTCTGGCTTTCTCTTTCATCACATGATCCTTTCTGCTGATGGCACATGGCTTCTCTGCCATGTTGTAATGCAGCCAGGGGACTTCTCCACTGGCTGCTGGTGTCCTGATGTTTAGCCTTTCCAGCCATCAGAATTGCAAATAAACATTTTTTTCCTTATAAAGTACTCAGCTTCAGGTATTTTGTTATAATAATAGAAAACAGCCTAATAAATCAGCTTGCCACATTACTTACTGTATTTAATGAAAATTTATTTACTTAGCTACTTTTTTATTGGTTATACAGATTAATGGGTTTTATTTTGACAGATTCATATATGCACATAACATGCTTTGATCATATTTCCCCTATCATTCCCCTTCCCCTGCCCTTCTAGCTTCACATTTTCAGGGGATGGGGGGGGGCAATTTGCATATTTTGTTCATATCCATCCATCATATCTATTACTCTCCCTTTCACCCTGTTTTTAACTTCTTTTTGAGGGGTGGATATATAAAATACACATTTAGCAAAGGAAGTAAAAGAATGAGGTGTGACAGTCACCCTTTGGGTTGGTACCCACCTTTGCCTTTCCTTCCCATTTGCTGCCCTTGACATATTATAAAAATTCTCTTCTACAGCCCACTGTGCAACTTTCCACATAATTTTGGCTTAGACGTCATAAGATAATGCTCTACCAAGACCTTGAAAATGGCCGAGAGAGGCTGCGAAGCATGACCAACTGCTCTTAGCAAGAGCCTTTCCTGTCACTCCTGGCTCCTCTTTACCTTGGGGTCCTCATTCCCAGGGCCATTAGAGGATTCTAGAAATGAAAGACTCCAGTAGAGATGGTCCCACCCTCTGTTTATTCTAATTAACCAGAGAGTTATTCATTATCATAAAATAATTATGGCCAACTCTTTAAGAGTTGACCTCAGAGTCCTCTTTGTTTACATAAAATAACCACTCTCAATGATACCAAGAAACTTACTTCAACATAATGTGACTTGAATGAAAAAATATCTAGAATGAATTTCTTGTAGAAAAAAAGATTGTACTGGAGGGATTAGTATTTACTTTATCTATAGGAGGCAGAACATTTGAATATTTGCACCTCAGAAAGGAATGAAAGGCAGAAATGACAAGAATCCTAGATATCGAGAAAATACTGAAGTTGATGCCAAATTGTAAGATCTCTTATAATACTTGAAGCCAGCTTGGTTAGGATTTCCTGTCTTCAAAAAAATCATATGGGGAGTTGTAATTGATAGGAACATATTGCAATGCATTGAAATAATGCTCCAAGATCTTAGCAGATCCAGGCAAAGAGCCAATAGTGGTGTATTAGAACGGCCTGCTCAAAACAAATAATTTTTAAAATCTAATTTAGTGTCATAGAGCAATCCCTGGTTCTAGAGCAACAAAAATACGGAAATTAAATTTGAACTAACCACCTCCCATTTCCTTTTAAAAGTACTAGTAATATTTTATGGATAGTAGTTTTTAAATTTTGTTCTAAATTTGAAGCCTTTTGTATTAAGTGCTATTAAACCTCAAAAAGTGATTAAAGTGAAATTGGAACTAGAAACTTATCACTGTTTCTTAATTTTGTAAGTAATTTTATATTTTTCTTTGTGGTGATGAGTATTTTTGTTCTGAAACAGGGTCTCTCTATGTACCCCAGTATTGGCCTTGAACTTATGATTTTCCTGCCTCTGCCCCTCCAATTACCTGAATAATTATATGGTGTGCACCACCATACCTGGATAATTGTATGGTGTGCACCACCATACCTGGATAATTGTATTTTTTAGAGAATGCAAATGTGAGAATTTTAAGCATGACATGTTTTGATACTATGTAAAAATTTAGATTTCTTCACTGATAGGAAACATCACAAAAGTAATTAACATAACCATAGTGTTATGGCTTGGTTCTTGAGTGTCCCTTAGAGACTCAAGTACTGAAGACTTGGTCCCTGGCTGATGGTGCTACGGAGAGCCAGTGGAAGTTTTAAGGGGTGGGGCCTGGTGGAAGGAAGTAAAGTTAGTGGGGCACACCTTTAAAGGGATTTGGAGAATTCCATATCACCCTCTCTTTTTTGCTCTTTTTGCTTCTTGATCTCCATGTTAGTAGCCTCTTCTGCCACTCACTCCCTTTCTTGATGTTTTTGCCTCACCACAGGCCCAAAAACAATGGAAACAGCTTACCATAGACTGGAACCTCTGAAACTGTCAACCAAAATAACTTTCTTCTTTTTAAGTTGATCCTCTCAGGTACCTTATCACAGTGACAGAAATCCGACTAATACACATATATATTCAACAAAACCCTTCTACAAATGGAAATGTGTTATAATGATAAAAACTGGTCTTGGAGCTAGGAGTGCAGCTCAGTGATAGAGTATTGCTTATCACAAGTGAGAACCTGGGTTCTATCTATAGCACACGTAATCTCAAAAGTATCCAAAACAAAACAAAAACTGATCTTTTATGACTGAAAATTATATGACTCTGTGGAAAAGTTTTCATTCAAAATATGTGAATACAATATAAGTGGATGATATCTGAAACATCTTCCCAACAAATCTGTGAGTTTGTGTGCACCTGTGTGTGTGTGTGTGTGTGTGTGTGTGTGTGTTTGTGTGTGCACAGACTCCACAGATCAAACCTAGGGTCTCATGCATGCTAAGTAAGCACTCTACTACTGAGCTACATCCTCAGCCCTTGACTGTTATTTTGTTTCATCAGCTTATAATTTGATTGTATTTTTCTAATATTCTTAATTGACTCATGAGATTCTTACCATAATTGTATACATAGGATAATAATATTTGCATTTACCCAACCCCTATATGCAGTAAGTTATTTAAATTATTTTAAGTCATTATAATATGTCCCTACAGGAGGATTTTACAGCCATGAGTAGAAATACCACAAGAGAATTCTTCATTTTGACCTTCCATATTTCTGAAAGTCATTTAGCTGCTCCTCCACTTGCAGTTGATCTCAAAGATACATTGCATAAAAATGTCTCTGGGAAACATTACCAATAGATATTTCTGAATCCCAGTATCAGATTGTGGATTCAGTATTTTTAATGCGCTTCCTGGGTGATTCTGCTGCAGTTTGCCTTTTTGGTGTTGGAGATTGAACTTAGAATCTCCCATATGCCAAGGCAGGCACCCTTTCACTGAACTACACCCCAACTCAACCTTCAGGCTTCTTGATATGGTGCATGTTCATGGTCTAGCTCTGCTTCTCTCTCTAGTCTCAGCTTTCACCACCCCTTATCTTACAATTTAGGTGTCAAAGTTGTCTTGAGCATGACAAGTTTGAGGTGCCCGTGAGAAATCCAGATGGAGATACCATCAGAAAATTGCCGATGTAGGGTTCTGGAATTCAATAAAGGATTGAAGGTATAAATCTGAGTGTGATGAGCCTGGGCTTAGCAAGGTGACTCCAAGAGAGGGGAAAGAAAAATGCAGAAAGTGAGGTGAGAATTTTTATTATCATTAACATTATCCTTATTTCCCTGGCACAATCTTTGGTATAAGTTTATGACAATCTGGCCAAAAAAGATGAGAAGTGGTGGCTTCTAATGTAATTATCCATGAATTGAGTCTTTGTGGACATATTCTTATGGAATTATCCAAAGTTTGAATTTTTTAAACTCAGTTCCCAACATGTTTAAGTAATGCATGCCTAGTTTCTCACCTAAGCCTCAAATGGAGACTAGCAGTTCCACAGCTAGTGACTTCCTTTCCCGCTGCCTAGGCACCTCTGACTGTGAGTTTAATGGACAGGAGCTTGGACTGAAAGGCAAGTTAGTATGCATGGAGGCATAGGTGATTATAATTATATGTACACCTCCAGCCTTCCATTTTGAACATAAATTTAACTTTCTCACACCAGAAGCATAGCTCAGTTACTGACAACTTAGTTTTCAGTTCTACATTTCTTCCTTTCCTGGTTCTTTAATCATGTTATTTCAACACCCGGTAGCCACTTCCTTATGGAACAGCTAGATATAACCTACTTGACTGGTCCTACTGACCCTTACACCCCACATAGACTGCAGATATGCCACCATAATCACCTTTCAGTCAAGCCATGACCTACTGGAACTGGTGCCTGCTCACTGTAAACAACTCAAACTCCCCTCAAGAAACTTTTGTGGATAATGCTTTAGACCACAACAAAGGTGTTGGCCTATGGGTGCTTCTCACTCCTCTGTCTCTCTCCCTGCACTTCTTGGCCTAGATGTGTGGCTTCTAAATGTGTTGTGTACTACCCAGGAGATTTCCTTCTTGTGTCTTTCCTGATCATTGAAAGAAAGTGCTCTCCATTTTAAAAATCCTAAATTAAAACAAAGGAGAGGTTAGAAGTTGATGTAATCATTCAAATCTATCATGATTCATCTTTGGGCTAGAGATATAGCTCAGGGGCACATGCATCTGCCTGGTAAGCTCAAGGTTCTGAGTTCAATTCCTGGTACCAAAAAAACAAAAAAGTTGATGTATTCCTAGAGTTAGGAAGGAAATGGGGAAATTAACCACATTCTTGTTCTGGCCTGCAAATCTAGACTTGACTAACCATAGAAAGGGGAAAGACCTTTGGCATAGGGAACCTTGTCAGATATGGGTACCAGCAGTGCTGCTCAAAGACTTGAGGAGTAAATTGTATGGTCTTGCGTTGATTTTTTAAGGTTTTAGAGAGATACATAGATGGGATGTTTATCCTTCAAGAGTTTTCTCTTTTCCAGATCTGATCTTGTCTCCCTACTGGAATATTCCTTGCCCGGTACTTCCATTGCCTCCTGACATATAACCTCCCACTACTACAGTCATCTAATCCACGTGCTTTCTCCCAGCCCCATTCTATCACCAGTCTGTTCTCAGGGAACATTCTTAATTCCCTCACCCTCAGACACCCTTCCCCTTCAGAGTGGCCAGGTACCTGATCTCCAGCAGATCCTTTGTGATTTCATACATGTCCCCCGCAGCAGTGCTTCAAGAGGCAATGCCATGGCCCTTTTATTACGGGAGAAACCATTTCAGTTTCAAATTGAAAGTAAAACTAAATTATTTATGAGCCAGTTTCCTAGTATTTGCTGTTGTGCTTGGGGTTTTGTTTTGTTTTGTTTTGTCTTTTTGAGACGGGGTCTCACTATGCAGTTCAGGCTGGCCTTGAGCTCACTTTGTAGCCCAGGCTGGTCTCGAACTCACAAGGATCCTTCTGCCTCAGCCTACCAAGTGCTGGGATTACAGGCATGTGCCGCCACACCCAGCTGTGCTTGGGTTTTTTAGCCAGAAGATTAGGACATTTATACTCCCTACCATAGGATTGCTGGTGGTGATGGTGGTGGTGGTGTGTGTGTGGTCAAGTTTATTGTGCAAAAAGCAATAGTCAGTGGTCAATCCTTCCCCATATGTTTGGTTGTAAGGTTACATATGCCATTTGAGGGGGTTAGTTCAAGAGGAAGTTTAGAGAGGTGAAGGCTTTTAGGGGTCACTTTTGTACCCTCAGTCATCACTTAGTATGAGTCCAATACCTGGCTACAGTGTGCTCATAAACCAGCTAAATCATAAGCCAACTGTTGGTTTTGTGCACAGTTTCCTTTGGGAATTACCAGCTTCTCTTAATTCTGGATTGTTGTAATGAATTAGTTGGCTTTCTGAGTAACAAGACCCAGCCCGTGGGTGACTTTTTAGATGAAGAAATACCACAGCACGCCAGGCTACAAGAAATCTACAACCCTCCACCCGCCCCCCCCCTCATTTGTAGTAAAAAGAGCCTCCACCAAAATAATATTTGGGGACCTTTTTTACCTAGCTTTTGTAAAAACTTTCACAGAAATAAAGCTTGGATGAGCACTAGGGTGTAATCCACTTATGTTGTTATATACAGTGTCTCCCCAAAAAAAGTGTAAACACACTTCAGGAAAAGAAAATATTGTGTAAGTATTTTAATACTAAATTTATTGGGACATCCTGAGATTAATACAAGTTACCTTTGGCCTCTGCAATTACAAGAGGTGCTCAAAGTGGTGGTCATTAGCTTCCAGACATTTATTAGCAGTGAATTGCTGCTTGAGTAACCTTGAACATTAAGATTGCCACACATTGCATTTCAATTTCTTCTCTAAGGCCTGCAGTGTAGTGGGTTTTCTGTAATATACGACATCCTTTAGGGTACCCCAGATGAGAGTAATACCATCTGTTGAAAAAATCATACTATTTATCATTTCCTAAAGTGTGTTTGGAACAAGACATTTTCTCAGATCTTACAAGTGATAAATCTAACTACTCTTTCTCTTCCTTTTTCTTCCTCTTCTTCTTTTTCTGCTTTTCTTAATCTAGTGGATTCTTGAGGTGGGTAGATGGAAATCCTTTGATGATGCAAGGCAACTTGTTTCCTGAAGCTAAGATGTGGATGCTGATGGGAAGTCATCCATAGTCTTTAGTACCTTTCACACAAGGACATGCATGGTCCAAACATTCTACCAGGTTTCCTACTGTACCACTAAACTAAATCCCCAACCCTCAGACTTCCCAAATGATCCAAACAGCAACTTGTCTAGATTGAAATCTGGCCTATGCATGGCTTGCAGTGAGAAATCCTTTGAGGTATATATCGAGCCCTTGGGCTCCAGTATGAAATGTGGCCCATGCACTGTGGTGATAATTCTGTTGTGAGGACTCAGGCTCTAGCTTGTAATGCATCTTTAGATCCTGGAAAGTAGGGGTGAAAGATCAGAAACATGGCAACCTAGAATCCTTATAAGAATCTGGGAAGTCACATGTAAGTTTTCAACGATGCTAAGTCAGGAAAGAAGGAGAAAATCTGGAACGTTAGATTGGAGGGTTATAGATACTGAACAAAATTGGAAGAATTGAAAATTTGTAAATGTTGACAGTTTAGGCATGATTATAGGACCCAGGTCAATTTATAGGTAGATACCCAAATTGGATTTTTTTTTTTGGAACCGGGAATTGAACTCAGGACCTTGTGCGTACTAGGCAGGCACTGTGCCGCTGAGCTATATCCCCAGCCCAACCAAATTAGCTTTTTAATAGTAGACATCAATTACTTTTTTGCCAAAGGCAGAGTATATCTGTACCAGTTATATGTAGTTTACAAATGGGAAAAACATGTAAAGACAATTAGCAGAATCTTGATAACCCAGAAGGATGTGCCATAGTTTTTTATTGAAACACAGTTTACCCTTAAAGCCATCCATTTTGATTAATTATCTCAAAGATATTTCATTCTTGATCACAAAATAAGACTGGTAACACTAGATTTGGCCTGATTATTTACAAGTTGCAGCAAGAATGGATATTCACTATATAGGCTTTTGAACATGTTTTTACTGGAAGTTTTTATAAGATATCTCAGGTTGGACTTTGAAAAGACTCTTGGGGATAAGAAACTAAGTCAAGAATTTATCACTGGTTTCACTTTCAATACCTATAGATAAGTGTGAATTTCTCTCTTTTTTTTGAGACAGGATCTCACTAAGTTGTCCAGGCTGGGCTTGAAATTGTGATCTTTCTGTCTCACCCTCCCTGAGTGCTGAGATTACAGGTGTGTGCCATTATGCCCAGCTTTCTTAGTTGTATTTAAGGTTGGGAACCCTGTAAGCCTAGTTTTCCTAAGACAGACTTACTAACAATTGCTCTCTAAACTTATCTTTGTCAGGTCTCCAAACTAGACACCCGCTCAGCTGGGAGAGAAAAAACCTCCCCAAGTAGATCTGTTATTTACACCTGCAGAGGTGCAACATTCAACAGGAAGCTGGCCCCTGCCCCCCACACTGATTAACCTCAAAGAGCTGATTCTGTGAAAAACCGTTAGAGACATGCTATACCTGCCAGCACCACCTGTACCCAACACCATCCTGTCTATCACCTAGCCTTAGACCTCTTACTCAGAGACTCAAAATTTTGTGACCCCCTCAGTAGAGCCCCCCTCCCCTATCCAAGTTCTCCCATGAAAGCCTGTCCATTCCTCCCGCTCAGGGTGAATGCCTTTCTGCCCTTGGCTCGACTGCATCCACTAGAAAATAAAGATGTTGCTGTTTGCTTCAACCCTGCCTGGTCTAGTGATCTCAGTCACTCCTCAGGGTTTTGCCTCTCAGTCCTTAGACCCTTAAATATGCCATATCTGATTAAATAGGTATTATTTTCAAATATGACATTTCAAATATGTTCCATTAACAAAACAAACAATAAGCAAATAACTATACAGTCAGGAAAGTAAGAATTGTCATAGTCACAACTAGAGACCATACTCATAAGCGAAATAAATCAAACATACATGTGCAAGCACCGCATTGTTTCTCTAGTGTAAAGCCTGAAAGAGTTAATTTAAACTAGGAGATACGATA